GTAAATAGATACACAGATGGTCTGCTAAACAAGGATGGGTATTAATCACAGCCCTGCCCTCCAATCCACCAAAGGTCCAAAGATCAACACATGTTACCTCTAGGCTCAGGCCGTATCAATGTGCTTGGAGTACAAGGGTATTTAGAAATACCGAATGTATGGTTTTCAATATTGTCAAAATGCAGACGCTTTCTTCCTAATAAACTAACACGAGATGCTGGATTAAGGTGATGCATTGTAGTGTACAGAATGAGCTACCAGAAATCCGTTTCTACTGGTTAAAAGGGCACCTCAGCTGAGATAGATGGTGACTGTGAGAGGTAGGAATGACAATATTTTGGGTTTAATCCCTATGAAATTGGCAGTTTATTATCCACATGATTTAATGTAATTGTATGTGTACCACCACCACATCAACTCCACTTCATCCAACTGATGTGTAATTAAAAAAAAACTTTTACTTAAACCATTTACCAAACTATATACTCTTTAAAAAAATATATTCTGTTGTTGTGGTGTAATGTACTAAAAGGAGAACTGATTGCTCATTGTCTAAGTGTCTCTCCTACTCAAGTCACACGTGTCATTTTAATACAATGTAATATACATTTAGTTGAAGCTTCTCTCATCTCATCTGTGGCTAATACACAGATAATCACCTTAAGTAGTGAGGGATGAGTACTACAGGTCTTAGCCAGCCTGAATCTTGACCTGAACTCTTCTCCATTGGTCTCTTCTTTTATGATGGCCTTTAAATCAGTTCTCATTCTTTCTGCCCCACACTAAGCTACTATTAAGGCACCATGATGTCTTAGGATTGCTCTGGGAATGGTTAAATGTCCATCTGCAGCACTGCTTCTACCCACTCCTTCCTTCCCTCCCTCCATCTCTTCCTTTAGGAACTTGTCATCTGTGGCTGACAGGAAACAAACTATCCGAAGGAGTTAGCTCTGCCCTCTGAAATGTGGCCAGTTTCTTTGGTACCTGCCTTCAGAGTTGATAAAGGGGTAGAGAGGACAGAGTTCAAGACAAAAACAAAGAGACATTCCTGCCTCTCCCTGACAGATGTCCGTGCCTGTCTGCGCACAAAGACGCATTTGTATGGCCAATCACATACACAAACCCTTTTTTAATAAGCTCAACATTCTAACATCTCTGCATACAGAGCTGTAGACACTCATTTCTCTGTTCAAGCTACCTGTTTCTAAAGTGTTCATCTCTCACAACCTAAAAAATCTCAAACGATTCTGTGATTGTCTCTTATACATTACTCTCTATACTGTAGGGTGTTTAGTGGGATAGTAAAACGGTTATAAATGATTGTTGGAGTGCATCCAAGGGTTGGAGATGGATGGAGAGAGAAAAGAAGGCAAAGGGCAACCAGGCCATCCCTTTGAAAAAATGTGCTTTAATCTGCATTTGTTTTTTAAGTAGCCTGCTGTTCTAAATGTTAATAAGCATGAGTCCATTAGTGAGGTCTGGTGAGAGCTAAAAAGAAAAAGTAAGTGTCATTCTGGAGGAGGTAGAACTTCACAGTACCTTTTGCACTGCATTTTTCCTGTGTGTGTGCACTCGGACGGACAAAGTCTAGTGTAGGATATTTGTTTTCATAATAATGAGACTGAGACACGGTTGGTTGGTTGGTTGGTTGGTTGGTTGGTTGGATGGATTGTTTAGACTACTGTCTCCTCCATGTTCACTAGTCATTTTTGCTGTCTCCACTCTGGACTTTCTCACTTTTTCTCCACCTCTGAGCTGTCATGCTCTTGAAAACGTCCAGGTGCTCCTCCGGTCTCATTTTCCAGGAAAAAGGAGAGGCTACAGTGAGACAAGCACTGTAATTGTCTTGTCTTTTTCAGCTGGCTCGCAGCCCGAATGAGATTTTTTTCTTTCTACTCTTCATGCCAATATACAGCGCTTCCTCCCTCCCTCTTTGTGTATGTATTTCACTTTTTTCACATTTAGTCTTCTAAACCTTAGGGTCATAGACAGCTGGTGAGGGCCATGGTGTACTGCTTTACTTTGACAAAGCATGTTAGTTAAATGTCTAAACCTGTGCAGCCTTTGCTGTGTTTGGACAGGTTTCAAACGCCTGCATGCTCCCCCTCTGTCCCTCTTTTTGTCCATCATGCTGTAATTAATGTCAAACCCAACAGTGTGTTATGGAGGAGGCGTGGGCTAACATGGTTAACATGCCCTTACTTGGCTATAGCTCCTATCTCAGGGCCCCTTTTTTGGAGCACTGGCCTGGCTGTAGACCTGTACTGGCCCCTTGTGTTTATCAAATACCATTACACCACATCTGTCTGTCACAAGGCAGCTACATCTTCTTTGGAGCTACATCTTCTTTGGAGCTACATCTTCTTTGGAGCAGTCAAAAATACCCAAGTTATTGGAGTTGCAACGCAAGCTCTTACTTCTCTTACTACTCTGACAACCAATGCTTTTATTTAGCCAGAACCGAGTCCCAAGTAATTTTCAATCTTCAAACTGGATTTTCATTCTCTCTGAAGTCTCTGATTCTTGACAAGCATTATTTTAGCATGCAATCAATTTCCTCCCATTCTCTGGGAACTCCTGTTGTTGCCAACAGAGGATTGTGTAATCGGAAAGAATGCCTAATTATACAAATTGAAGTTCTCTTTTATTCAACATCACATACACATGCCAAGTAGTTGAGTAGACTTGTCTGGAACTGTTACTGCTACAGTGTCTTTAGCAACCCCCCCCCCAGCCAAAGCTGTGTTTGATTCCCAATGAAAATATGCTTTCCAAGAGCCTTCAGCTCTAAGTTCATATCATCCCATATCCATCCTAAACCACTCTGTCTGTTGCTCATATCCATTTTCGTAACTTAACTTAACTTCCTATTTCTGTGCGTGCAAAATGTATCAGTCATTGTGGTATTGCATACAGAAGGTGTTGGCTAACTGAGACACAGAGGCTGTTAATTTGTTTAACCGTGAGTGTCACACATCTACTGACACTAGTGACATGGAAATATCTGGACATGTGGAGGCTCATATTTCGCACCAAAACCCACACAAGAGAGGCAAGTGGCAGCTTGAGTTCGTGTTTGTTTGTCATTAACCTCTAGTCGATGTGAAGTGAGGGTCTTTGTGAGTGTGGGTGGTGCCGGGGGGGTTGGATGTTTTGAGGATTGGAGGTGTGTGTGTGTGTGTGTGTGTGTGTGTGTGTGTGTGTGTGTGTGTGTGTGTGTGTGTGTGTGTGTGCATCAGCTGTGAAGTGTAAGGAAATGCAGGAGGATGTATTTATCCTTCACCTCCTCTAACCCTAAAACACCTTGTAAATAGTTACGTTTGACGGCACATTGTAACCTAAACTTCTTTCCTTGTATTCTACATGTGCTATCAATTAGCAAAGCAGTGCTAATCCATAAAAACACTTTCTGTTTCAGACAGTTAGTGTTTATCCTGTGCGTTGTTGCACTAAATGATCATATAGACAAAATTAAATGCAAACGTCCAAATACAAATCCGTTTAAAGCAGAAAAAGACCTTTTGCACTATGTTTAAATTTAAACTGTAAAATAAGCCTAGAGGGTCTTCACTAGCTCATTTAATCACTTTTACATTTGAGATATTGCCAGTACCTTTTTAATCGTGATCAGTCAGATAACATTGGGGATATTTAAAGCGTATCTGAGCAGCAGTTACTGCAAGCAGATACATGTTTAAATGATCGAGAAGGAAGGAAGCGAGATTCAGTTCAAGAAAAGAGGAAGTGAGAACTAGGAGTGGAGAGAAGCTTCCTGTCACTTGTGTGGCAACCATCACCATCTGACCCGTTTCTAACCTCTTGTGTGAATGTTTGTTTTGAATGTGATGCCTGCGAGAATACTTGTGCACTCATGTCAAGTAAATCTGTATTATCTATAGTTTTGTTTTTATATTTAAATGTACTTAAAGCACTTATTATTTTTGTAACCTACGTTTGTTAACCTCCAACACAACAATCCCCCCCTTCCAGAAAGATTCTCATATCACCTGGAAAGAGAGGGACTTTGCCAATAGTAGAAATCAGGTAAGTTCTGGTCATATCTCCTGTACAGCTGCTTTATATTCAATCTACAGCTCCTCTTCTGCTAAGCAAGCACACTCAGGCTTAATGTTCTTCACATCTAGTAACATGTTATCCACTTCAGGCTTAAACACTTTTGCCTTTTTTGTCCCCGCCCTCTGAAACTTCCAAAATGTTCAAGCCATCCTCTTCTTAGTTTGCAATGACGTGACAGCTCGATTATGATACTATTTGGTTAAGAGAGAGGTTGACGCACTGGATGCACTGTCCAGCAGCTTATTCACTGTTGTTCAAGTGGTATTTGCTGCACAAAGAGCAATAAAGTGAAATATTTGGGGGGGGGAAAGTAAATGAGAGGGCACTTAACGACTAGTGCAAGCTTTTTTTAAGGGGCAGGATAAGCAGGAATAGACTATATGAGAGGAAAGAGAGGGACATGCCTTTCCACAGACCGGAAAATATCTCTCATCCGCTGGCAGTGAGTCGTCTGAATCGTCCTAACACATAGAGGTGAAAGCTCATAGTCTTTCCTGTAGCTTCTACTCTGTTGAATTGTGGGTAAAAGCATGTAGCTTTGGGTAAAAGGTATTCACCACAAAAAAAAAGTTGAGTTAAAATCTATTTACAATGGTGAAGTGGCCAAGAAGGCAGCAAAGTCGTACGTCATGACCACATAGAGCCGGGTTAAATCAACACAGATTCACAGTTAATGCCACTGTGAGTACTTTTGATATGTGCAGCAGAAAGATACAACCATATTTCCATATTCTTTATCTTGTTTCTCTATTGTTTCAATTTTAAATCCACTCTCTTCCTCTCTCTCTTTAACTAAAATACTATCTCTCTCGCTTACCCGCAGATGTGTGTGTGTGTGTGTGTGGGAGACTTTTTGGGTGCATGACTGAGAATAAGAGCAGGCTCTTCCTTCCTGCCCGCTTTGGTTCCAGTTCACTTCAGCTGCAGTCAGTCACTGAAGACACACAGAGCTCATCAGACCAGCACAGAGCAATGGAGAGAGGGAGGACAGTAGAGATAATAACAGAGAAGATGAAGAGTTGATTATACTTGAGCAGAATGCTGCTTCTGAGGAAATAGATAAAGGAAAGAGATTTTTTTTTCATGTGCACTTAATGTGCACGGAGCTAATCAAATGTGACTAAAGTTGGACAGTTAGTGGAAATGGGTAGGAAGATGATGCAGAGGTTTTGGCAATGCTGAGATGGAAAAGGACAAGAGCAAGTTCGCCTACCTGAGCCGCTTTCTGAACTTCCACCTTTCCAAAAAGAACAAAGCCTTGGCTCGCAGTCCTCCGAACTGTAACAGATCAACAGCTGCACCAGGCAACAGCCCTGGCACTTTACCTGCAGAGAGGAACCACTGGACGGTAAAGTGAGACCTACTTGTGTTGGCATCTTGATTAACTCTAAGTACTCGTCTCAAGAGAGTTGTTAATGTCATTTTTAAATGAACGAGGGTGGAAGATGGATGTATTAAAGCTGCAAAGTGCAAATGAGGATCAGTGCTTGTTGTTCTGTGGTGGTTTAGAAACAAGATGCAGCTGAGAGCTTGCATGTTCTAAAACCAACTCTGGTTTCCTGTTGTCAAATAAAATCCTATGGTGGCCTGTGGTTTCGGATGCTTACAGTGAATTTTTAAAACTTTAGAATGCTCAGTCCTTTTTTTTATTTGTAGGTACTTCAGTGTGGCAACTTATGACTATTGTCTGTGTTATTGGTATTTCTGGGTGGATTGATCACTGTTTTTATCTATAAATGTTCAGAAAACTGTAAATAACACTTTTCCCAGAACCAGAAATTATGTTTTCACATTGCTCATGGGAAACTGGGGAAGGGGAATCAAGCAAATATGTGTTATTTTAACCTGATAAATTATGTTGCACACAACTACAGACTAAAAAGTGTTAATGGTATTTGACATGCATTTCATATGGTGTGCATTGCATGGATAAGAAGTGGTGGAACAGGCAAGATGTCCTACTTTCTTGTTCCAGATTTTGAAATATTTCTCTTCAAGTAGCTGTGAGGCTTCAGGGTAGAAGGAATAGTTACTCCACGACCACTCAGTTACATTTTAATATTCTCCCTGCAGGTAACTACAGTGTTTCCTTGTTGTAGTCACAGTGTGAGAAACCTTTCAGTTCTCTGCTCTCATAACAACACCCAGTCTTTGTGGTTTTTCTGAAGTGAGTTGAGGGTGAGGTCGACACCAGGTCAGCGTTATGTGTTGTTGGAGTGGCAGTAGTGGCAGTGCGCCACCCTGTAAATACCCGAGAAGTCTCTTGAGGTTATATAACTGGTTTTCAATCCAAGAAACATAAACATGAACCACTGGAGGCATTTTACATTACATTACGTCTGAAATGTGCACTGATAGGTCAGTTTTTTGTGATATGTGAGTCACCATCATTTCCAGAAACTACTTTAAAAAAGCAATACATTGCTCAGAAACATTGGGTGTTATCACTCGTTCGCACACAATACGTACATCTCACTTCTTACCGTGCTTCCTCTTTATGAAGCATTTTATTTTGATAGTGTTATTTACAGTAGAAGACAATATCCTACGACATAACTTCTCTTTTGGCACTGCAAACAATCTCTGACATGTTCTTTTCACACAATCCTTACAAACACATTGTTTTAGCCATTGTTTGTGAATACTGACTGGTTTATTAAATGTTTCCACTCTGCTTTGCACTCTGCAGGAAGATGGAGATATCAAAGAGATCAACATTACCCATGTGGTCAAGGAGGGCTCAGAGAAGGCTGATGCTTCTCAGTTTGAACTGCTCAAAGTGTTGGGACAGGGATCGTTTGGCAAGGTAAATCCTGTCTCTTGCGCTCTCTTAGTCAGACCATTTTAATATGCACTCAACCTTTTATTTAATATAACCGAGTGTTGTTTTGTTGCAGGTGTTCCTGGTGCGAAAGGTCACCGCTCCCGATGCCAACCAGCTCTACGCCATGAAGGTCCTCAAGAAGGCCACGCTGAAAGGTACATTAGCCTTAAAAAGTGTTCAATCACAGAGGATGGTTTAAGAGGCTGACTTGGTTAGTCAAAGTGTACTAATAAACAGAAAAAGCTTGAAATTCCTGACCCCAGCTTTACCTTTGAAAACCTAAGTTTAGTCTACAACATGCAGTAGAGTTGCTCTGCAGCTGATATGTTCCCCATCATACTCTGGACTAAAGATGGTGTTATGTTATCGTATGGTGCTGAAACAATAAGTCGATTGAGAAGAATTTGAAACTAGCAATAATCAAACTAGTTGTAGATACATTTTCTGACAAACATTTTTTGCAGATTTCAAGACAGTGCTTTAAGATTCAGGACATTGTAATGAGCATATTTAACTATATGCTGATATTGATAATGAAAACAATAATGTGTTGCAGGCAGCCCTGTATCTAATACCCCTATATAACATCACCTTGTTTAGTTTATGTATGATTGCTTTCTCTTTAGCTTTTCTGGTAAACTCATTACTTGTTTTGAAGTTGCAGTACCCTCTGTCTGTTTCTTATAAAAGGGTGTATCTTTTCCTGTCACTCATAGAGGACCACATGCAGTAGAAGTGAGACGGCAGTTGTCTTAGTTTTGTAGTGAGGTTACCGCAGGTCTTACGTTTTTTCTACTTATGCACCCAGGTGGTCTCAATATTTTTCATAAACAACAGCTTTATTCACACAGTCCCCTAAAAGTAGTTTCATTTTCCCTGGCATGAGCAATTACCATGTTGTAGCATATGACTAATGGTTTCACTTTCCTCATCAATCAGAACCGAGTTGACAGAGCCTCAAACTAAAACTCTGCATGGTCCGACATCCTCTATGATTTTAAGTCAGCAAAGAATTGATCCGTTATTGGGCAGCCAACTAGAAACCACCAACTTGTTCAACCACACTAGACAAAATAGTACAAATGCTTGAGGGCTTTGTCAGCCAACTTTTTAATAATAAAGTTTATATTCACACTAAACTCTGCACCTCCATTTATCCTTCAGTGAGAGACCGTGTGAGAACTAAGATGGAGAGAGACATCCTAGCTGACGTCAACCACCCATTTGTTGTCAAACTGCACTATGGTGAGTCTGCCTGAAGATTTCATTACCAAAATGTTTTAAGGAATCTGGAGACTGTTTTCTTGCTATCTTATTATTTAAAATCCCAGAAATGTTCTTGTTAGCTTGCTGATTTCCCAGTAAATGTTGTATCTTTTATTTGTAGCATTCCAGACTGAAGGCAAGTTGTACCTGATCCTGGACTTTCTCAGAGGAGGAGATCTCTTCACCAGACTCTCCAAAGAGGTGAGAGTGATTCATTGGATTTTGGTTGTTTGCTGGATTTTTTTTTTTTCCTCCATTATCTTGCGCTTTTAAATAATTGTTTAATTCTCTCTTTTTCTGTGTCTCATGCCTCTCAGGTGATGTTCACAGAGGAGGATGTGAAGTTTTATTTAGCGGAGCTGGCGTTAGGACTGGACCACCTCCATAGCCTGGGCATCATTTACAGGGACCTCAAACCTGAAAAGTAAGAGAACAAATTGACATACTAGACACGCAAAAAGATTGTTATTAAAAGTTGTTAGGCCACGATGCAGAAATTCTGTTAAAAGTTAGAGGTCTTTGAAAATGTTGTTAAGTAAAAGTTATAAAGTCTTGGCATCAAAATATATCTCTAAATTGCATAGGAGTACAGTATTTCAGTAAATGTACTTACTGTCTACCATTTAAGGCTTCAGCTGCAGCATCATTGAGCCTTCATTTCAATACTATTATCTGCCATCAGTAAGAACATTCTTGAAAATGTTCCAAGCAAAATCTTGTCCTAAAGAAACCTTGACAATTTATATATACAGAGACGTATGCCTATGTTCTCGTAGAAAAAGCTGTCATCACTGCTAGAGTGCTCCCTGAAGATACTTTTATTCTAATAGAGAACCTAAGAGTTATTTATTTGGTTCTTGGAAATAAATCAGAGCCTTTCTTTTGCATGATAAGTTATTTTTGCTATATTGCTATAAAAAGGTACCGTGTGGAGTTTTTCACTCTAAACATTTTGAATTATCATTCCTCTCCAAAATGCTTTGTTTGTTTCCCTTAGGCCTATAAGTGCAAACTCATTAAACATTTGCAAAGCTTTAAGTTTTGAACCCTGCATTGTATTTCAGCCTGCGGTCCTCTCTTTATTGTTGCATGGCCACTGTTTATGTTTACTGCCACTTGGTTGTTTTCCTCACACTAGTGATCAAAGAGTCAATAAGGTGCCTTTAAGCTGAAAGCTGATTATTGTGTTACATACTCATTACAGCAAAATGTGCAATGTGTTTTTTAAATGAGTAAAATATTTAAATGTTCACACTCTTCCGATACATTCATGATTCTAACAATTGATATTGTTTTTTTAGCATTCTCCTGGATGAGGAGGGACATATCAAACTCACAGGTGAGTCTCCTGCTCCTTTCTGCCGATACACTCACAGACACACCTCTACCTTGTTGACCCTCATTACTCACACTGGGGTGACAGCCTTATCTTACCGACTCCAGATATCTGCATATGGGCGTGTACATGTTCCCTAAGTTAATTATTACACTTTATCTGCTTTATCTATTTCTAATCGTCCATAATCAACGCCATTTATTGACTTCCGGGTCCTGCCACCATTGAACTGAAGGTTACTGTATCATAGAGAGGCAGTGCAGACCAGATAAAGCGTTGTAAAATATTTTTTATTATATTTTAACCGACTAGTTGAAAGTGCTGTAAAACAAGTGGCAGAAGACACACTTTGGTCATGTTAGATTATATGGAAATCATTCATGATAACAGAAAGCACTCTACAGTAGGGTGCTACACTGATACAGCGCAGTGACGTGCTGACTGTATCTTGTGGTGTGTTTTCCAGATTTCGGCCTGTGTAAAGAAGCCATTGATCATGAGAAGAAAGCGTATTCCTTCTGTGGTACTGTGGAGTACATGGCACCTGAGGTTGTGAACAGGCAGGGACACGACCAGAGCGCCGACTGGTGGTCATTTGGAGTACTTATGGTAAGCAGGAAACACTCATTCAAATTATAATAATTGTGTTTCTATATCATACACAGTGGTGTAGTGGGGATTTTTTTACTGGGTGGACGGGGTGGTGGGTGGACGGGAGACACTCGCGCTCGTGAACTGTCAACGGCGGGGGGGNTGGGTGGACGGGAGACACTATGGACGCGCTCGTGAACTGTCAACGGGGGGGGGGGCTTGGGGACCTCTGTGTCGCCTGTCAGCGCAACTTACATGATGCCGTTTAGACAATTTAATAATAAAAGGCGGTGCCGGCTGTCAGCGAACCGATCCGGCCTTTCTGCGCGACTCACTCAAATGCGGGACATAGTCTCAATGTGTGGGACGCGGGACAAATAATAAAAATGCTGTGTGTGCAGTCCCGCACAGTGCGGGACACCTACACACACGGTTCTGCCCCTCACACACACACGCTTCAAATCAAGTTGCATAAATGCTTGAGCTACGTTTTTATTATAATTACTGTGAAATCTGCCTACTATGTTTTCGTCATTAATACAACAAACACAGACTTGCAACTGATAACACCGGCAATGATTTTAGATGTATTAGACTATTAAAAAAATAAATCATGCTTCAAATAAGTGGGGGTACGGCGTACCCCCGCGTCCAACGCCCACTACACCACTGATCATACATACTCCTTTAATACATATTCTACTTCACATATGTATGCATGTACATGATCACAGTTTATTGTTCTCTCTCCCAGTTTGAGATGTTGACTGGATCGCTGCCATTTCAAGGAAAGGACCGCAAAGAAACTATGAGCCTGATTCTGAAGTGAGTATCCTCATGGTGGAGGAGCATTTCAACACAGAAGCCAGTTGTCATATCTTGTTGCGATTTTAAGAAAAAAAACCTCTTGATATAAGGTGAATAAATGGAGCTACCTGCCATCTGTCTGTCCCTGCAGGGCGCGCCTGGGAATGCCTCAGTTCCTCAGTGCAGAGGCTCAGTCTCTGCTCAGGGCTTTGTTCAAGAGGAACCCTTCCAACAGAATGGGTTAGTGCCAACTACTGAACAGTCATTTCACATATGGCAAAATAAGCACTCCAGCTCTGTTTCCTCATATATGTGTCATTGGTGTTTCTTGACAGGATCTTGTGCTGATGGTGCAGAGGAGATCAAACGGCATGGTTTCTTCTCCACCATCGACTGGAACGTAAGTGAGAGAAGGTCAACAATATCATTTATTGTGAAAAAAGTGCGGTACTTGTGGGTTATCTGTCGCCACTTTTTAATAGAATTTCCAACTTTTGCACAAATGCAGATGTGTGTTATCATGTCGCCATTTTCACAAAAATATACTGCCTCTAACCCTCTCTAAAAAATTGCGTATTTAGAGAGTCTGAAAAAAACAGTGGCGACAGATAATCCACAAGTACCAAAAGTACAATTTAGATGGTTTTCATTTAGAAAAAACAACTTTTGTGGGCGGAATTCCCCTAAGTATATTGTGTGATTGAAAGTATTTTATTCCTTTTTAGAAACTCTTCAGGCGAGAATTAAAACCCCCGTTCAGACCAGCAGTGGCGCGTCCCGACGACACCTTCTACTTTGACTCTGAGTTCACCTCCCGTACCCCTAAAGGTCAGAAATCCAAGCTGCATGTTAACCTGTTTTTTTTTTTTCACCCTGAAAGAAGTTAATTGAAAATGTAATATTTTTCCTGCCAATGCAAGATGCTTCTTGTGGTTACAGCTCCATTAAGATGCGATTACACTTTATTATAGGAGTGTTTGTAAAGAAATGCACAAGCTAGGAAGTATGCTCCTCTTGAAATAACATTAAAACATGGCATCTCTTAAAAAGGCACATATTTCTCTTTTCCATCCTTGACATTCCTTATAATCTTCCAGACTCCCCCGGTGTGCCCCCCAGTGCTGAAGCTCACCAGCTTTTCAGAGGCTTTAGCTTCATTGCGTCGCCTTTGTTGGACGAGGAAGGGTCTGTGGAGCCAGCCAAGCCTCACCCAGTGGTCCAGGTCAGAATAAATAGTTTCCTTTTTACATTCTATGTTCTGAACTACGAGATCCAGTTTAAACAAGAGATGTCCTTTCTCCTGTGTTGGATTTATCACTGAATACACAAACTACAGCTATATAAAGAAAGAGGGGAAACAGACAAAAGTACAAGGTCTATGTAAGGCAGACAGGGGAAGGAAATGTCAGATACCTAAAAACAGGTACAGATCCTGTTTCATGCGTGAAAGGAACAGCAGTTAACTCTGTGTGCTAGAACATTTTGAAAAAATATAGATGTACGACTTCTGCCTCATAAACTCTCTCAGCACAACACGCTTTTTTTAACATCGCCCTTCTTCCTCTGCAGCAATTACACGGAAAGAACCTGCTGTTCAGCGACGGTTACGTGTTGAAGGAAGACATCGGCATGGGGTCCTTCTCTGTCTGTAAACGCTGTATCCACAAAGCCACCAACACAGAATACGCTGTTAAGGTAGGGTGGTGTGTATTTAAAAGAGTCCTGTGACATACAACCAAGATGACGGTTACAATTACATAACCATCATGGCTGTACTTTATATTATACTGTATAAAACTGTAATATTAAGAATATATTGTGATTGACAGATGATTGAAAAGACCAGTACAGACCCCTCTGAGGAGATTGAGATTCTGCTTCGATATGGGCAGCACCCTAACATCATAACACTGAAGGATGTAAGTATTAAGAAATGCACTTATATTAAACATTTTGGTGTAAAATCTAATATGACCTGTGATTCAGTGTCAGGCTTGATTTTCTAAAGCCTAAAAACAGAGCCAAAGGAAGGTTCAGATGATTAGTTTCCTGAATTGTTATTATGGACATTTCTATTATGAAAGCCAAAAACCTATGCCCAATGTCACAGATGGTGATATGATAATGTGTGTGTCTCTGTCTCAGGTGTACGACAACGGTAAGCAGGTGTTCATGGTGACAGAGCTGATGCGTGGAGGAGAGCTGCTGGATCGCATCCTCAAACAGAAGTTCTTCTCAGAGAGAGAGGCCAGCTCTGTGCTTCACACCATCACCAAGACTGTGGAGTACCTACACTCACAGGGGGTAAGGAGGACAACCAGAAAATACTCATAATATAAATAATTTCACTTTATTCAGTTTTTTCTATACTTGGCTTGCTCTTGTTATCTGTTTTACTACTGAACTATTCACTTATTCATTTACTCTTATTTTGTTCCTCCAGGTGGTGCACAGAGACCTGAAGCCTAGCAATATCCTCTATGTTGATGAGTCGGGGAATCCAGATTCTATCAGGATCTGTGATTTTGGCTTCGCTAAGCAACTGCGTGCCAACAACGGCCTGCTGATGACCCCGTGCTACACTGCTAACTTTGTAGCTCCTGAGGTAAGTTGAGTCCTCCTTTTTTCTCTGGGTCAGAATAGGCAAAAGCTGTGCAGCAAATGTAGGCAAATGCTGCACAGCTTTTGCCTACATTTGCTCAGACCTGGATAAAACTAAAGACCTTGAACTGTGTTGAACTGAAAGGCAATGTGTGTCATTCCAGGTGTTGAAACGTCAGGGCTATGATGAAGGGTGTGACATCTGGAGTCTAGGAGTCTTACTGTACACCATGCTGGCCGGGTGAATACCAACACTTAAAGCTCTTTTATTTGAACTCATTTTTCTATATCACTACCCTTAATACTCACTTTGTCATTTTTATCCTTTTCTTGTGACAGCTTTACTCCATTTGCCAACGGACCTGAGGACACCCCAAATGAGATCCTGAACAGAATAGGAAACGGTCACTTCAGTCTAGTTGGAGGCAACTGGGACACAGTGTCTGAAGCTGCCAAGGTGAAACTCCAAACCTGACAGATGGCTGCTTTGCTCAAGTTCCTCAGAGGAATCCAGTCTCCTTCTGTCAACATGTTTTAAATGTATTCTGTGCTGCTTCTAGGATCTTGTGTCGAAGATGCTTCATGTGGACCCGCATCAGAGACTGACTGCTCAGCAGGTCCTCAAACATCCTTGGATTATCCAGAGAGAAAAACTGCCCAACAGCCAGCTCCCTCATCATGACCCCAAACTGGTCAAGGTAACAAGACGTTTTCTATCAAAAACATATCAGTTACAGAGAACTGATTGGATATTTTATTTTCCTACATGATACAGTATAACAACGTTTCACGGTTAAATATTTCAGAATTAAAGATACCCCATAGAGTTTTGTTTTTACCACTAAGAGCCCAATGCAGAATTGTCTTAAAATAGATCCCATCAGGTTAGTATTGTGAACGTGAAGAAATGGCACAAAAAGAAAACATCACACTCAAATTCATGCTTTTTTTAAATTCACGTTTATTCAACTGATCGACAATGTGTGGCAGTAACTATGAAGTAAGATATGCTTTTTGCTCAGGAATATTTTAATGAATCTTGACTTTTAGTTTAAAGTTAGGTTTACATTGAATATAGATAATAATGTAAAAAAAAAAATTGTTTCCTAAAAATGCTGTACAAAATACAAAGTGATCTAAATATTGTATAACAATGGACACAGATTTTCATATCTGTTGTCTGTCTTCACAAAAAATGTAAATCCATCCAAATCCGTGGTTTTTCCCTTTTTTAAATGTTTCCACAAAATGACTAATTGTTTAAACTTGCTGCTGTTATTCTACAAGCAGGGGTATTAAACTAAAATTCAACGAGGTCCAGTTAGAGAAAAAATCTCCCCATGCAAAGATCCGGAACATCAAAATGTCTAACTTGCTTTATGAATTAGTGTAATATATATTGAAGTATCCTGTAGCTTTATCAACGTCTGCATTTAATCAACAACTGACTGCCAATCAAATAAAGAAAGTACAATTCAAAAACAAACAATATTTATTGTCAATGAACATTGAACTCTACAGATATACAGTCAAATACTGTGGATATGTGTAATGTTCTTCTCTGGCTGCTTTTGAAAATATGTGCATCTTAAAAGTGCTTAATTTTAGATAAATAAAATAAAGTGTAGCAGCAGCTTGAGTTTCCCTTTTTCTTTGTTAACCGTTTCACATCAAGCCTTAACTATTTCAGACGATTATAGAACAATATCAGTCTTTACACATCATAACAATTGAACAATTTTAAAGTTTCTCTTTCTTTCCCTTATTATATGGCAGTCCCTCACTCACTTTTTTTTAATTCAGTGCGAGAATTGAGCTCGAGCTTGTCCTGCCAGTTTAAATCTGGGCTGAAATGGTGTCAGGGCCATTCTCATACACACAAGCAGGTGCTCATTGGTTAGCCTCGGTTAGCCTGCCCTGGAACGATATTTAGTAGTTTGATCCTGGTCGACTGATCTCATATTGGGCTCTGAGACTGCTTATTTTTTGTGACCTCAGTTCTGCTTTGAGAGAACGTTTGGTCAAACACTTTGCGTTTTGTCTCATGTTTCGGCACTTTTAATGAGCACCACGGTCTCTGAACAAATGAGACACACTGGTTCTGCTCCCAGTGGGCAGGATGAACATGAATGAGTCCGTACACTCAGGGTTAAAAACTCTGTTCTCACTTTCCACTTTCCTCTTCTTGGAGAGCGCAATGTGTAATTATTTGTCTCTCCCTGTCTGCCGCTAACACGCGTGTTCACTCCTCTCCGCTTCTTTCCCTGTATCGCCAATCATTCTCTTCACTCACTTTCCTCTCCTCTCTGCCGCGCTCTCATCTCTTCTTCTGTGTTTCTCTCCCTATACAGGGAGAGAAACACAGAAGAAGAGATGAGAGCGCGGCAGAGAGGAGAGGAAAGTGAGTGAAGAGAATGATTGGCGATACAGGGAAAGAAGCGGAGAGGAGNGAGCACCCAAGCCTATACAGCTGCAGGGTGAAACCGTTGGTTCCCCTGTTACAACAATTCACCATGCCGTAGCTGTGAATTATTGACATACACGCCTGAAAAATGTAGACTGGTTGAACTTTACATTTAGGTCATTGAAGTTATGAAGTAAGTAAGTCTAATGTCAAGGCTGATCTTTTTTCACAATATTATGCTGGGACAGAAGAAATTGTACAATCAAGTAGAACCAGAAAGATCTAATCACTGTTTTCACTACAGCTGTCCCTGCTTGTAGCCACTTCAACAAGTATCAAATTCTTCTCTGTGAACCCTGTTCTTTGGCAGCTACTGTCAGTAGTCTGGGCCACATGTAAAAAAAACACGTACAAAAATCCCATAAATAAATGCTAACAGCCACCATTTTGTTGAGATAAGCTGGTCACTGCCCTGACCTGTGTTTCTCTGTCTTGAGTTACTGTGTGCTGTAGGGATTTAAAGCTGGTCCACCAGCAGAACATTTGTGTGTTGCTCCAGATGTCTCCAGTCAACAGGTGGACATGTCAGGGGGCACGCTGGGACAATGGCAGCCTTCATTTTCACCACACTCACACAGGCGCATCCACACGTGGTTAAGTCAATTCAGCACTTTTTAAGTCTCTGAGAGTCAGTTGTCTAAACCTATTAGCTAAAGCACTGCAGTGACAAAAAGGATTACTGTGGCCAAGTCTTTGTGAAGATACATGTAGGACAGGCAGCCATACAAAGCTGAAAGGTTAAGCGAGGACACAGTCATACATGACTCCTAACCAATGTAGAAAGTTACCCAGCAGCCTCGGTATCGTCAGGCTTTAAATCCCACACCTAGTGAGCTCAGTCACCCGAGGGTTTTGTGTGGGTGTAGCGTGTGGTGAAGGGAATGAATGTAGATATGCTTTCTTGTCAATCGTGTTGAAGTTGACAATTTACTGTCGAAAACTCAGCATTTTAGGGTGTTGCCACTTTGCACAACTTTTTAGTTTCTCAAACAGTTGGTCATTTCCCAATCCTGTGAGGAGGGGGATGGCTTCATGTGACTTTCACTTTTGTTACATTGGGCCATGTAGGTCATTGGTAATAAATAATGGTCTCATGAAGATATTAAGTTTATATTGGCGTCCAAAGGTTGTGTACGTGCTTTAGGTTGAAGCTGCAGATCTTAGTGTATTATGCTTTAAAGTTAAGCAATCATCGGTTTGTGTGGAGAGACTGGGTGTTAAGCTGTAGGGCAAAGGGGATGTAGGCTGTCTCCAGGGGGGGAGGAGAGGTCATTGAATGAGTCCAGGGATTTCCTCGCATTTTGTGGGCCATGGGTCGAGAGACGATCACCCCCTTTCTCTATTCACCCCCAAAAACACCCACACCATCAGCCCTGCTTGAAGTGCTTGGGGAAAGTGTGACGGGGGTGCTTTGTTCCAGCACTTGAGGGCTGTTGGCACATTTACGACACTTTGCAACAACCCCCTATTTATCACTGTCCTTAGCATGGATGTGGACGTGCCCTAGACACTTCATTCTCATGATTTAACTTTTAACCTGTCAAGAAAGAAACATTGTTTCCACCAGACCATAGTCTAGGAAATAATTCAAACGGTTGTTCACTCAATACAATGAGATCATAGTGAATATTACGACTACAAGAAGCACCCTCTTTGCTTTATATTTCGTTTTTTTACTAATGTTCATTAACTCTTTTCTTTCCAGGCTAAAAGGAAGCTGGATCTAGAGGACCCTCTCTACATGCCAGAGTTCCGAACACCAAAAGGCAAAAGCAGCATCGCAGTGAGGATACCAAGTCCGAGGAGTGAGTACACCACTAGAGTCAGAGGATAGAGAGATGTGAAAGAGGTGGTGTAATGTTGTAGGTTATGTGTGTAGATACTTGAACTTAACCCATGCTAGTATTGGCATCTGTGCTGATAAATTGTGCTTTTATTTAACGATTTTAGTGTACAGCACAAAAAAGGGAAATTCAATTCATAAAGACATATTTTTCTTCTCGGGAATAAGGAGGCACATTAAACAGGAAAATGACAATTTCAAAAAATAAACGGGAAGTTGTAAGCGTAGTAGAATATGGTCAAGGGTAAAGTTATATTAAGTCCCATTACATTATAAAGAATAGCAATTTTAAAAGAACAATAAAATACTATAATAAGTTCAAACAGATAAGTCCCGGGAAGTGGTTTGATTACAGTGCTTTACAATGGTACAGGTCCAAAGGGAATGCAAAGTAATGGCTTGTTTCAAGATTACACTTTTGCTCACAGATGGTCATGATGGGTAAAAAGGGCCAGCTCAGAACAACCCTACAGAAGCAACCTTTAATGAGTTTGTCGGTTCCAACTATCACGTGGATATTTGGAACATGTGCTTTTGAAGACATGTGTTTTTAGGTAATAGAGATTTATCTCTGTGTGGTGTGAAGACTGTTAACGATCAATGAATAGGATCATAAACACAGATAGTGCTACATTAGTCACGTTCACACAGGTAATCAACACAATGACACTCGTATGAAGTTTTCACCTTGAGTATCTTTATTTTATTAGACCTAGCAGCAAGGACAAAACCTAGCTGTGTTAGAGATGTTTAGCATTTTCCTACCAATACTTTTTAAAATTAAAAATTACTTAATGTGCCTTTGTCTGTTTCTCTGTTCTTAGCTCCAAAGTCTCCAGGTGAGCGGACACGGTACGATACCTCCTTGGGCCTGCTGACGAAGAAGTTTGTGGGTCTGATCGCAGAGTCTCCTGATGGAGTTTTAGATCTGAACTGGGCCACGGAGGTCCTGGAGGTCCAGAAGAGACGCATCTATGACATCACCAACGTACTGGAGGGAGTCCAACTCATTAGAAAGAAGTCAAAGAACAACATCCAGTGGCTGTAAGTACCAATACAGTATGAGACATTTGATATCGATAAAGGCATTAGTTTTAACAGGAGATATAGTTTTTCAGGAAAAAGTTTCATATACTTTGATACAACCAGTTTATGTAGGGCCCTTTAGTCTAACTGGTGATCAGGGGGTTTGTCGTGGGCATTAAGGACAATAAAAATGAGGAATGCGTAACTAGTATCATTTAAATGCCATTATCTGAGCAGTGACATACACAGTCCAAAAATAACTTTCAAAAGGTTGTTTAAAAGCTGTTGTGTGTTTCAATAATATTGTATGTATCTGCCCCCTAGTGGCTGTTAGGGGGCATTGTACTCAAAAACATCCACTGAACCATTACTGTCTATTACTGTGTCATTGTTATAGAGTTTTTAATTAAATATTTTGTACTGCATTCAGATTGTCAAACTATATTTTCAATCATGTGTATTCTTTGTGTTCTCGTAGGGTTGGAGATGTATTTGAGGGTGGTGCAAGTGGAGGAGAGAAGGCCTGCGCCCTGCGGAAAGAGCTTGGAGAACTGGAGAGGGTAGAAAGGTCTCTGGATGAGCTGATCCACTCCAGCACCGCACAGCTCAAACAACTCACAGAATATGAAGACAATAAAAGATATCCTTTACAACCGGTAGTGATTGTTTGTTTCCTCGTGGTTCTTTGTTGGTCTTATGGGTATGGTTACACATATAATTGTCTAGTTAATTCTGCTGTTGTCAATATCCTTGACCACACACTTTACGTTGGGCTATGTGACATATCAAGACATCCGCTCCATCGGGACCCTCCGAGATCAGACAGTCATTGCCGTCAAGGCCCCCGCTGACACCAAACTGGAGGTGCCAGACACGGCAGGGGTAAGACAACGTAGTCATCACATAATAAAAACTCTCCAAAAACACAGAGTACTTGCAGCGAAACATCTATATGTATGTTTAATATTATTTTGTCCTTCTCATTACAGCAGGGCTCATTACAGATATATTTAAAGAGTAAGAATGGACCCATTGAAGTCTACCTGTGTCCAGAGGAGGGTCTCGAAGATGCTAGCCCAGTAAAAAGCGCTATCACTCCTAAAAAGGAGTTCCCTCAGCCCCTCTGCCATCCACCAGCAACCCCAATGGCTCCACCGTGCTACAGCGTCAAAGAGGAGCCGTCTGAATGTAAGCTGGGCTTTCTGTGGGGTCATGTGCAGTACTGTTAGATTCTCACTTTAATTCCACTGTGTTATAGGAATGCTATGATAAACTTTTAAAGGACGTTTTAATATAAGTAGTGTTACAAGTGAGCTTTAGGTACCTTTTTAAACAATCATTCTTTATGCTAAGCTAAGCTAACACCGGCTGGCTCAAGCTTAATTCTCAAGCAAGTGTATAAAGATATTATTATATCCCAAAACCTCAAACTACTTCTTTAAGATCATGCATCAATTAAAGACATTAGTGCAGATTAAAGTGCCATACTAGTAAATATGTAATTAAAATAAATCCAATACTAAAATTAAGGAACATTTCAAACAATAAATACTTGTGTAGAAAAGAACATTAATAAACATTATACATTTCTAAAAATAAATACTTGCTACATGAACATAAAGGTACACAACTCATGGGTAAAGTTCAAAACAAAACGTGTTGAAAGATGAAAAACGAAATGTATTTCAATTACAAAAATAAGACATGTCAGGCTACGAATATTAACCTTTGTTCTCTCTGTTTTTAATCCCAGGCAACATTTCCACAGCTGCTTCCTGTGCTGCAGCCTCCACCGCCGCCCTGTTGGATGTGGAGCGTCTGCTGGGTCTGCCCCCCAGCCTGATGCAGATGACAGAAGACCAGCTTCCTTGCACCTCTTTTGCCCCCGACCCCAACACCCCCTTTGTCAGTTTCTCTCCCCCGTTGGACCACGACGATTACCTCTGGAGCCTGGAGGACAGCGAGGGAGTGTCAGACTTCTTCGACACCTACGATCTCGGAGAACTTTTGAAGAGCTGAGGTGTAGATGAAGGAGGGTGGAGGTAATCTGCGGGGATTAAAGGGGAATATTTAATGAAATGCCTTCACGAGGTAGTACATATTACACTATGAAGCCATAACTCTTTGCTTTTACCATGCCTGTTTTGATGTCAATGAACCCAAAGGAGGAGTTACCCCCTTTTTGATTATTTTATTGAGGGTTTAGATTGACATGGATGTGTAATCGCCAACCATTAGGAAACACTGTTTTAAAAGCATGTATTAACTTGAACGAACATAGGAGTTTTTTATGCATTTCACATCCCCAGCGACAAAATCTGATGTGTCTCATCAGGCGGTGTTTACAGTGAAAACTCAGGAATTTTTTGTTTATTTTTGTTTCCAAAGGTTTTGTGCCACTCTTTGGCCTGTAGGGGGCAGCCTTGTATAATGTCAGCTTTAACTGCCATGCAGCTTTACATGATTCAATCACTGGATTCTTGCTGTGAATAATACCAGTTTTTGTAGGCGCATAAACAATATCTGATTTTGAGCTTGTTTTGCTTTGTCAGATCAGGTTCTCTTTCTCCGCCTTAAGCTTTATTTCTGGCCTCGTACCTGTTTGTGCCAAAATGTGAAAGGCAGCTTCTGACACCCAATAATGGAGCCAGATCCAGAGTCAATGACTGATAATGGGTCCTTTGTGACCACATACAATCTCTGACTGATCTAGAAGGCCACACTCACTCATGTTGGTATGGCAGCTTTCTTTCAAATCCAGGTTCTCCTCTATAAATGCGAATTTGCTGATTTTAATAGAAGTTTGTAGATTTAGTAGTGTGACACTACTATTGTATTTCTGAGGCAATACCCCCAAATAAATCAAATTCTGCATCTGTGTTGCAGGTGTGATGGAAGGGGGGGTTTATTGATGTAATTAAGGTTTAATTAGAGTAGCTATTTGCATTTGCTGTTGTTCAGAAATGGATGAAGTCTGCTTACTGTCTAGCAGCAACATAAACAAGAAATAATTATTGTCTTAGCTCTTTTAAATTTCACGCCCATAATTGCTTCAATGCATGCTGGTGCAACCATTTTAAATTTCAAAGCCATGCACGCGACGTCAGAGCAGCTGTGTCTTTTATCTGTTTACATTTATTTTTTCGCAGCGTTCTAGACATTCGGAAATTTGAACTTCATGCAGATATAATTGTGGCTTTCCCTCTAAACTGCAGAGATAAGCTAATTGTCCTGTCCTAACAAAACTTGAAACGTGTGTGTGTGTGTGTTTATGTATGTGTGTGTGTGTGTGTGTGTGTGTGTATATATTTTTGACAGTTTGGGAAATGGGTCTCATGGTGTGTTTGTGTGAGTTTTATGATGTAGATTAGTTAATGTGAATTCAGAATTTGTAGTTATTTTTTTCAATGAGCATTATTTTTCTGGTATTTGTACATAATTTGTTTTGTATTTATACCTGCATCTTTGAAAGTTGATACTTGCCTTTTTTTATTTTTACAGAAGGCAAAACTGTTTTTGTATGACATGCGGCACTTAATATTTTTGTAATATTGTGTGGTCTGTTTGAAATTATTAAATAAACACTGAAGCCATTGTTTACATTTGGAATTGAGCTCCATTGCTCACTTTTTATGTCATAAACGTGTAATTCCCTTACACAATTTGAACATTTGTTTAAAAAGATTCAGGGGAAACATTTATAATATTTATGCATCATTGCTTTTCATTTGTTTTCTTCAAGCCTATAGATTTATCTTAATAGGACCTGACTAGCACATGGGATTTCTTCATCAATACTGGAGTAGGTACCCAGAGGTTCAACTCAAAATAGTCTACTATTAATAATAGAGTGTTCTCTGTCTAAAACCAGCCAGGGCAACTGAGGATATCGACTTAATAGGAAGTGACATTCCCAGAGGAGAGAGAATAGGTCGACATGAAGAGCTACAAGGACACTGAATGGGCTTTAAACACAATCGGACAGGTTGACAAAAAACACCCATCATTCTTTGTGAGTTGGTTGCTTTGGAAACTAGCTCACAATAGGAGCCTAGGTCGATGAGGTCAAAGTTCAGTGGGTCACTGAGTAATAGCGCTAATACACTCGGGGGAGGGGGACATTTGCAAGGAGATAAATCTCAAATTGACCAATACATTTATGGATTTTCAGGTTTCTCACTGCACATTGGCTGCCTTTTGGGAATGATGATTTGATGTCTTTGACTAAATGCTCTAAAAAAAGGCCAACATTCTAGATGCTCTGTTCTCCCTGAAGCCATTTACATAGAAGTTTATGGCCTTTAAAACGATCTAACTAACAAAAACAGGAAGCACACAGTTGTGCCACATGTTGCTTTTTTTTTTCTTAACCCTTACAAAGAAATCCTGTCTCCGCATTTTTTTTTTAACTCCTGCGCCTGATGCTTATTAACCAACATCAGGTCTCTATTAGCGCTAAGTATCTATTAACAAATGTTGGGTTGAACAGCTTGTGTGCTTAACAAGAGGTGGTAAACCGAAGTTTCAGAAACCACGTAGACATTGCAGTTGACGGTGGGGTTTACATGCCATCTAAACACCAGACCACCTCAGTTCAGTCACGTTGCACCTTAACACCAATTGCTTTTAGCTGAATGCTTTAATTGCCAGAAACTGAAAACCCTCTTTGTGTGCTGGCTTTCGTCAGAAAGCAGCAACAACCTCAGGCCAAAATGTTGCATGTCATTATTTAGTACCACAGCCGCTTCAAAGGGACACATAATGACAGTATTATTTTCATTAAAGGTCCCCTATTAAACTGTTTTACATCAATATATTATAGGTCTCAGATATATACAAAACATGTCTCTGAATTGTTTGGCTCAAAATACCCAACAGATCATTGTAGCATCCCATAAACCCCTCTGTTTCAGCCCTGTTTCAAAAGTGCTGATTCTGTCTGTTACTTTAGATGAAAATAAGGTGCCACTCCCCACGCCCCTCTGCAAGATATGTGGTTAAAAAGAACACAATGGTGCTCTAGGAGGAGATTCAGGTGATCAGGTGGGGGGGTGTTGGTGATTGGCTAATGGTGACACAAGCCAAAACATCGTTATGACATCATAAAGTGGCCAAAATCTGATCGTCTCATTTTCAGACAGGTTTTTATATAAATGGATAAGGACAAAAAGTGAGCGAATATTTTTCCCGGAAACATGTTTATGTATACAATTCATGAAAAAGTGGATTTTGCATAGGTGACCTTTAAGGGTTGGAGCTATTATAACATAATTGTGTATAAGTTATATACACATCTTATGAGATTCTGCAATCATTTTATCCTGGCAGGTATAAAACCTATAGTCTATTAGTATAGTTATCAATGTAATCATTATTTAATGGATACATGCAATGCAACAGTATTCAACAGGTGTTCTCAGACTTCCTAGAAAAATATTATTCAAACAACACTGGGATGTCATGATTTTGACATTATACTGCATTGATAATAATGAATCACAAACAAGTTTTACCACCTCTTACCTCTGGAAGTCTGGAAAGCTTTTTGTTGCTATACCAACTGTGATGACAGGCATGCTGGAGAGGGTGTGGCTGCTTGGTAAAGTTTGTTGCCAGCTGCCATACCACAGACAACTTGAATTTCTTTCCTGAGACTGATAAACTTCAGTCAATTGGTTTTTTTGGGTGACTCAGCTCTTTTTGCAATAAAGGTGTTCCCCAGTCCTTCTTTTTAATAGTGCAGTTGTGCAGGTTCCTGAAACAGATTGTTGACAGTAAGGGCCCAATAGACACTTCTTATGCTAATTCCTGTAGAAAACTGTGTTTAACAAAAAATCAAACCCTTCCCTCTCTTACTCTCACAATCACTCACTTTTCAGTCATCCACGTCGACCAGAAGAGGGGTTATTTTACGGTAAGCCTGGGCCTCCTGGCTTGACAGGGGTAGTAAATTGATAGCAGAACTAGTGGAGCTGAGTCAACAACCAGAGAAGAGAGGGAGATTTTTTTGGGGGAGGTTGGGGGACCTATTGCTGCTGGGAAGCAGCAAGGAAATCCTGGCTGCTGTAATCTTTACTGGATGTGTTTTCAACCTCTGTGCTACTGCGTCAGAAAAAGAGAGAAGCTGCACTGGGTGTACCTCACTTCCTCGCAACAAAAGTGAGAAATGGTGTGTGAAAAAAAGAGGTGGAAAAGCCCCTGTTAATGTGAGAAGTAAAGAGTGAAATGATTACAGGCAGTGGCAAGAGAGAGTGTTAACAATGAATAGGTATGTGCTGTTTAGGAAGGAAAAGGGTGGAGATAAGGAGGGAAAACATTAAGTGAGTCACTCCAGTCTGTGTACTCAAACAATGAAGTTTCTATCTATCTTTTCCTCCTTTCCTTTGTCGTACCACCTCCCTGTGCTGTGCATCTCCCCCTCCCTTCCTCCCCTCCACCTTCCAAAACTATTTCCCTCTGCTGATTCCCTATTTTTCTTTTCTTCCCCACACCCTGTCCCAGCTATATGTTGTGCATTGCCTGCACAGACCGGTTTGCTCAGTTTTACAATAGGACCCAGGCTGGAAGGCTGGCAGACGCACAAAGGCTCTGCTTCTTTACAAGGGGCTGCAAAGAAACTGAAGGAGGGTATTGTTGGGACACAGCAAGACTCGGCATTACATCAGCCCAGATCCATGAAAAAGAAAAATGTGTGCATGCGAAATGAGCATGCAGACGCACATATATTTTTACAACAATGGTCACCTACATGTAGTCATGCAAACTGTTTATATGCATTTGGACCTCTTTCTTTCTCTTTCCCTAACTGATCTTGCATGCATACATGTGTGCAACAGAAACAATGAGTGAATGAGGCCCTGGTTAAACTGGGTCAGCCATCTATTTATCTGGCTCTGCATTGTTTGGAGTTTGTCGCGTGCTCTCACTTCCTTACAAGAGTGGAAATTTTTTCTTGATGATTGATTGGTTTCCAGCACCCTGCTTTCCCTCTGGAGAATCAAGCGCACATTTTGAATGGTGTGCTGCCTTCATTTGTATGAGGAAATATAATAAATATGTATTATCACTTTGTGTGTCTACTGAAAAATGATTGATGGGCACCTCAAGCTTACACTTTAAGGCTGTGTGCATGTATGTCTAAATGCAACAGATGTTTAATCTTGTGCTTTTAGAGTTATTTGTTAGGAAAGAGACTTGCAGCACAAAAAGGAGTTTGACTATCTTTGTGAATGTGATCATAGCACCACTGTGAGTGCACATAGTTAAAACGTAGCATCAAATATTCACTGTTCACTGTTTGACAGAGAAAAGTAGTTACAGAGAACAGAAAAACAAACTTACCCCACAACGTGAGTCTGTTTGTGTGGTTATAATACCCTCAAGTGTCCTAATAGAGCTGGGACAAATGTCCCTTCATAAAGTTAATGTAGGCAAATGTGTGGTTTTGTGGTTAAACCAAAGAGAGCCACTGTACTTGATAGCTTCCTAAAATCACCTATCTGCACTTCATAGTGTATTATATCACTGCTCTCCCCGAGGCAAGGATCAGTGATACACCCTCTGCTTTGAGTTGACAGGTTTGACAATGCTAGGCACGCAGGAGTTATGTTCTAAACACAACTCGTGATTTTTTTTTCCATCTTTGATGTACTCTTTCCTTTTCTTTCACTTTATCAGATTTTTTTCAGGAGGAGGTCAGTGGGAGGGTCTTTAGAAAAACTCCCTCAATGAAAAATGTCTTTTCATGAGATGAAAAGGAAGAGGAAGAAGCTTTGGAGCCTGAGCCAAAGGGATAGCCAGGGGCGTTATACCTCCAAACTCTTGATTAAAGGGCAGTTGCACAGCTGCAAAAGCACCACCTCAGATGTGATACATGTGTGCAAGTACTCATTTTTCATCTACAATACACTTTTAATAAAACATCAAAGCTTTTAGTTATAATATTGTTTAGTGATACTCGATGAACTGTCTCAGTGCAAGTGCTCTTGCAAAGCACCACCATCACCTCATCCAGTGAAAATCCTCCCCTTCAGTTTAGTCTCTGAATGAGGTATTATGTATAACCATGGCGACCACACTGCAGACTCTCTGCAGTTTGCATAGAAATGAGAAATAAGAATGAAAGAGAAGCAGACAAGAGGACACACACAAACTCTATTTTCTCTCTGCCGAGTGCCAGAAAGCACAAACATTCCCACGTGATGATGAAGTTTGCTCCCTCCCTCTCGGGGCGGACAATAGCGCGCTGGCGCACCTCCACGCGCACACATTCACAGAGTGGAGCCTAAACTTCGGTCAGCACACAGGTCCGCTTTTAGACAACTTTCTACCTGAAACACGCTTTTTAGGGACCGGTGCTCAAAGGAATACAGTCTATTTTCAGTTCTTGCGCACAATGGTGGAATCAACTAGTTATTTTTCTTCTAAGTGGAATTACAAGCGCGCTTGAAACTTTGCCTCACGTTTCTCCTCAGTGATTGTCAGACCCTTCTCGCTCCAAACATGCCGGAGCGAATAAGCATTTTGGACTTCGTGGTCCTCACAAACGAGGATATGTCTTCACCGGGTAATTCAAGTTTCCAGTCC